AACGAGTTGTGAGCCGCCTAGAGTCCCCCATTGGGGGGAGATGGGCGGGGATAAATTTAATAAATAAATAAAAAATAAATACATTCCTGCCTTAAAGTATACATTAAACTTTGGGCTGTGAAGGATTTGAAACCAACTCCAACCCTACCTCTATAATCTGTATACTGTACCAGTTAAAATTGGGCTTCTGATGCAGGAATGACCATCTCATGCCTGCTTGATATTTTGGAGTAAGACCCATTACACCCAGCCAACATGACCAACATTACTCCCAGCCAACGTAACCAGCTGTAGGAACTCTGAACCATCTGAAGGATACCAGGTTGCATACCTTGACATAATGAATCCAGAAATGGGTCTAAAATTGATCTTTGCACATGCTAAGGAAAGGTTTAGTTCTCTTCAACTTTTTTTTTAACATTCTGCAGTAAGCTCCAGGGGTAGAGAAAATGCTTCACTGACTTAAGTGCCAGATAGATAGATAGATAGATAGATAGATAGATAGATAGATAGATAGATAGATAGATAGATAGATAGATGTGTTACTTTTTATCAAACCATTGAGAGTCAGAAAGTCTTGCTCATCTATTGGAACTAATCCAGCAAACTCCCTGTAAATATTAGTCTACCTCTCACTGGGCACTGTTCTAAAGAAACAAATTAGGTTTTTCAATAGTCCAAAGTTGAGCTTTGATGCTACTCATTATGTTTAGTGAAAGCAGGTTAGATCACCCTCCCCAGCCTGGTGCCTATCAGGTATGTTGCAGCTATTAACTTCCAGATTCCCAGTAAGGATAGCTAAAGTGTAAGCATTTGGCATTGTGGGAATTGTAGTTCTCAAGGTGCCAGATTGGAGAAGAATGGGCTAGATTATGTGATATAAGCACATTTATGCAAATGTTCAAAAGTTGGGGAGCTGGGGGGAGAAATTGCATCATTTAATCTTAAGTGACACGTAGAACTTTGTTTCCTATATACATATCTCACCTATTCCACACTTTAATGATCTGGAGATTGCATTTTTAAAATGTGGTGTTAAAACAAGGCTTATCCTGATGGTTTTAGAGACCTCCAAACCCCAACAAGAATGTCAACAGGTCATAGGAAATATTTTAAATAAACTGAAAATGCTTCATCATCCAAGAACATTATGTGCATATATTCTCTATGGCTAAAAGGGGTGGGGGGAGTCCTAAGAAAAGTATTACAGATCTATCCACTCTTGGTCCTGGAATAAAAGCAAACTCTTGATGATTTTGCGTGGTAACAGGCTGTCCCAGGAACTCTGTGCCAGGTAACCTGATCTGTAGTTTAATTCAGAAAAGAAGATTGTTCTTACAATTCAGGAGTCTTGTGGATAACTGAGGTCAATTTTGCTGTGATCACGTATGCACATGAATGGTGAAAGTCCCCCCGTTGTCTTGTATGTTTATTTGCTGGACTTCAAGGAAGGTCAGCATGAACTGCAGTTCAGATGTGAGCCATAAAATTCCCACTCCATGCCCACTCAGACCTTCCAAGGGGGCGGATTCAGGCAAACACAACAGTGTTTCATCTGTAGCTCTCATCCTGTTACCCTCCAAAGGTGTGTCCTAATAAAGTCTTACTTGCTTAGTGAGTCTCTCTCTATGTAATGGTGTGGAGGAATGACCTTGGGAGACAGGAGGAAGAGTCACAGACTAGGCAATGGTCAGATAAGAGGCAGCTGAGCCCGCAGAAGCAATGGGAGGGTGGCAAATGTCTCAGAAGGGCCTCTCCCTAGTTTCTTGGACTGTAAAGGCAAGGAAGGGAGAAATGCAATTTCAGACTTGCAAGATTTTGTTAATGTGACCTTACAATAAAGATAGAGCTATTACTCCTGGGTGTGCTTTTTGTCTGGACTACCTCACAAGGCTGACAGCCTGCTTACTCTCTATCCTCTCAAGAACTCAAGGAGAGTCAGTGTAGTACAGTCATCAAGGTGTTGGACTGAGACTGTGGAGACCTAAGTTCAAGTCCCCAGTTGACACAGAGCTTAGCGGGTGACTTAGGGCCAGTCAGGTTCTCTCAGATCAACCCATCTCACAGAGTAGGTGGCTGTTGTGAGGATAAAAACGAGGGGTGATCCCACAGATGCCACCTTGGGCTCTTTAAGGAAAGGTGGGTGGTAAATATAAGAAATCAATTAATCCTAAGACTTTCACTTAGGGCCCTTCTGCCCTGCAGCCTAAGCTGCTTATCTCCCCAGCCGTTGTTCAGCCACCTTCAGAAATTCCAGTCTGGGTTGCAGGGGGTTGGAAATGGGGTTGGATGGTGCTCAGTTCAGACCAGGGCCACTGCAAGTTCTGACGGGTCATTCCCGTGCTTCCTACTCTTCCCATCTTGCAGGAAAGGTAAGTCACACTGCCTGGCTCTTTTGCGGATCTACCGGTGCTTGCTTTTTTTTTTAAGGGACTGTTTCTTCCTTGCTAGTTTCTAGGCCTTTCCTTTGCTTTCCCAGATGATTGCGCACATAGATGACTTCACCCCCCCCCCCCCCCCCAGAATGGCCAGTTCATGCCACCAGAAACAACAGCAACAGCAACTAGCAGGATGTTGTAATAAACCTCAATCCCTATAAGGATGATACGTCTGTGCTCTAATAAGAAAGGGATAGATGTTGGACCTTTTTAAAGACACTGGTTGCTAACTGAGTGCTTCACTAACATCAACTGAGTGATGTAACACTAAGGCAGTATTTCTCAACCTTGGCAACTTTAAGATGCTGGCTGGGGAATTCTGGGAGTTGAAGTCCATGCATCTGCAAGTTGCCATGGTTGAGAAACACTGATCTAAGGGAAAAGTCATCTTGTTTCCTAGCTACCACACAAACTTCCTGGACACTGAATGCAATTATGAGCTGCTCCACAGACATGCATAATCAAGATAGAACAATTATTGCACAACAGCCTGTGAAAAAGCCCTTACAATCTATGCACAGTTCTGGCAGCCAAAACTTGAGTACCTTGTTAGATGCACCATCACTAGCATCACAGCTGGGATTAGAAGACCATACTAATAGCAAGGATAAGTGTTTCCAGGTAAAGAATTGTATTATATAAAAGGGTTCTATATAAAAAGAATCAGGATCTGCTATACATTCTCAATCTGGAGTCTTTCAGGGGGTTCACAACTCCAGAAGCAGCCAACCTCAATGATGTTTATGTTGTGATTGCTATCTTTGGTACTAACTTAAGAAGTCAAATGTGGCAGTTTTCAGCTTTTTAAATATGAGTGCAGGTCTGTGGTATCCAAAAATGGTGCTAACGCAGAAACAGTTGGCAGCATCAAATATCCATCTAAATTAAAAACAAATAAGTCTTCCTCGTGTTTCTTTTGCTGTCACTACGTGCTAATAAGCTACAAGTCCACCCTTACATAAAGTTTGGGAATTCTAATGCCCAACTGTCCACATTTAACATTTGCGTAATAAGAATAACTGTCTGTTTGGAAGAAACAAAGCAGCAGTCCGTTGGCTTGAACAAAAGAATTTGGATCAAGAATTTGGCAGAGGTTTTGCCAAGAGCTTCACTGCGTCCAGCAATAAATGAAACTTGTGCTGTTCTGCAACTCCAAAACATCCTGAGTCAAAGCAGGAGAAGGTTATAAATAAGGTTCTGAAGAATATGATTCTTAATATTTGTTAGGTCAATGTGATGTTTTGAGCAACTGAGGGTGAAAAATAAATGCAACATTTTAAGAAGGATGATGGTGGGTTGAAAATATTGTTAGTGTTCCTGGGGAGGTGGGGAGCAGGAAATACAAGCGTATACCTTGGAATGCTGAACTTTGGGAAATTAGGATCTGCAGGGGGGAGGGTGTTTTTGGGGGGGCATTAATTACTTGGAATTAGGAGAAGAGTTGTTTATGATAGTCTCTTAAACATCTCCTAACCTTTAAGTCCCAAAACATTTTCTCATTTTTTTTTAATGTTATGATCTTATTTAGGAGAAAATAAAAACTTATCATGAAATGTGTGTCACTTACATTTTTTGAGATGGATGGAAGGCTGATCCAGCATTAAATTTGCTGGAATTCATACACCAAAAAGGCAAGTTAGGAAACAGGGTTTCTACTATTAATATACAATCACAAAGCATTGGTAAAGAATACTATCTTGTTCAGACTTAATGGGTGCCTTATCCCATCACTGGATTCCAGCCAGTTATGTTCACAGTTCTGTAAATAATGACCAAATATGGACAAAGAATTCATGATTAGTTGCAATCAGCCACCCTAAGATATTTTATCCCAATAGAATTTGGCCCCTGACTGTGCAGACTTTTGCTCACTTTTGGTGTGACAGAAATACAGCTAAGGAGTAAGTGCATAAACTTACTCAGGATGTAATGATACTATGCAGTTTCACTGTAACAACTTTGCCTAACATTATTTGAAATGGGAAGATTTGTGCTTTCAACGATAAGAGTTTTTTTTGCAAGAGATCCACAACCACATAGACTTCTTCCTGATCTGCAGTTTTCAAGGCTAGAAAACGAGAGCCCGTTCCTGATTAACCACAGCAATCAGTTACTTCTTGAGAAGATCAGCCTCATTGTGATACCACACCACAGTGTGAGTGCCACCATTTTTTAAAATTCAAGTAGCCAAGATTGAATAAGGTTATCAAACTTCAGAAGACCTTTGTGCTTTAGCCTGAAATCTTTTGAGATCTCATGTGAGAAAAGTGAAATCTTAAGAAACATTAACCGTTTTACATCTGTAAATGTTTACAGAACACTTTAATTTTGAAATTTGTTACACTGCCAACACTTGCATTGAAGGAAGGCATTATTGCAAGCCATCAACACAAGAATTTCTCAGCAAGCAACTCAGACCCTAGAATGTTCCTGGTTGTGACATCATCTTGCATTGCCCTGTCTCAACAGATTGACCAGGGAGACCTTTACCCTACCTCAACTCCTGACTCCAAGCAGAATAATTTGGAAAGCAATCTGCTTTTGAGAAATGAAGTACCATAGTTAATTTAATGATTATAACAGTTTTCTCTAATTAGAATTAGGGAAATTCTAACATGACCACTGCTGAGAATTCTGGGAATTGAAGTCCACACAACTGGAGGGTACTTAAATTGAGGAAAGCTGGGTTAAGGTATCTTGCAAAGATCAAAAGTTATGTTCAAATCCCTATTCAGCCATGAAGCTCATTGGCTGTGATTTTGTATCTCTCAATCAACTCCATTTCACAGGTCTTTAAGAAGATAAACTAGAGAGAACCATGAATACATCTGCTCTTCCTGGAGAAAAGATGAGAAATTAATATGATAAATAATAAGCAACAGCTCACAAATGGTCAAGCATTGGATCCAGGTTGATGCAATGAAACAGTGAAAAGGAATCAGGGCTACAGCCTCCTTAGCTCCAAGGTCTTCTACCTTAGAAGTGAATTCAAAGTTGGCCTGAACGTTCACAGCTAGTAATATGCTCCATTCCAAATTCAAGTTCCCTATAAGACCAAGGAGAATTTTTTCCACTTACCTCCAGACGGAAAGCTTTGCTGAAGCCGTTGTGGCTGCCGGGGGCAAAGGCAAGTCCAGGGCTGCAGCTTACCACTGCCGGCATCCCCTTCTCACAGGTAATGTTCCCACCAAATGTGCTGATACGATCACCTATTTTGCAGCTAAAGAGATGTGACTCGGTGCCTTTGCAATTCACAGAATAAGCCCAGTATTTATGCTTTCTTCTGCTTGCTGATGTCCTTGAAGAGAAGGAAGAATGCCACAATTGTTAAGAACCCACCACTAAGGTAAGAACTGGGGAGATCTATCATTCAGCAGAAGCAGCTGTTTGCCTGCATGGGGGGCAGAACGTTTCCTATACAGCTCACGTCCGGGCCAGATGAGTTCACACAACCAAGTAGGCAAACATAATAATCTGAAAACATGTGTCACTGTCTTAGACTGCAGTAGATGCCAAAAGCAGGAAAGGGACGACTCCTTGAAAGAAGCTACATGCATTTGTTACCAGGGCAGATCATGCCATTGGATGGTATATTCATATCCAACCATTTTGCAAAAGATCATGAATTAAAATAAACAATACAAATTAAGTAATCAAACTAATTTGGCCAATACGTTTACTCTCTGCCCTTATGCTAGAAAAGCAAAGGGTAATCTATTCAGTTTATCCTTTAATCCGCACCTTTTGACTGCAATGAGTCGAGTTATATTTTTCAGTACTCCTTAAGGGAGAACAGTATAATCTTAAGGCAGGAATACGTGATTTATGTCAGTATGAGGGCTGCATTGGATTGTGGGTGACATGTCAAGGACTACCAAAGGGTGGGACAGGCATATGATAGAAGCCATGATGACATCATGCACACAGTGTTGTCACTGAATACATGGCACAAATTATATAATTTGCATCAATTGCATGATCATATGTGTGATCTCACTAGCTCCCCTACATGCCTTGCAGGTGCCCGTGGGCAGGTGTTGGAAATGAGTTTTAAGGGAAGAAAAGGGTATCTTAGAGTCCCATGAGTCTTCAGATATTCCTTTGGCCCCTTAGTTCCTTTCCCAGGGAAAACAAAATGCAGAAAATAAATTAAGGGGTTGAACGTTTTGGCCCTACACATTCTAGGGGGTTTTGGAAGCTGCAGAGGAGATGCTGATCAGCTGTACCTCTTGCATCCTGTGTTAAACCAACTTTGCTCAACAGCAAAGATAGTTAAGGATGAAAGTTACTGCATGTACTAGACAGAAATTTCAACCTGGGCCTCCTTATTCCTAGTGTAGGATTAACCAATAAGCCACACAGCCTGTTTCGATGGGAAAAAAATCAATTGAGGGAACAATCCCTTTGGTTTATCTGCTAGTTCAGAACAGAACCTTTCATGGCCTCACTGCTAAAACCCTCAAGGATTATATTCAAGAAGTAAAGGAAATCCTCTGTGACACATTATAGATACTTTAAGCAATCATTTCCTTCCACAGCTTTCAAGTCCTTCAGATCAGACTAGGAGGAAAGAGAGAAATCAGCTTTGCTCTTCTACCAGTCTGAGAACACAAACCAGATCTCCAAGTGCATCTGGATGAGAAATTCAGTAAAAGACTGTCAACAACTCTGGGAAGCTAAAAGGATTAATAGGAACCATTTGAAAGGAACACAATAGCCCTGCCCACAATATCTGTGGCAAACTTTCATACTATTTCTGGACATGGGAGAGGGGAATAAATCATGATAGATTACTATTTGTTAAAAGTCAACAATAGTTTTGTTATGGAAGGGAGTAAGATGGCCTTAATTCAGAACCTGTATGTGAAGTCCACTTTGGTGATTTTGAAATTAACCCAAGAACTCAATATGGCATCAATATCACGAGTTGGCAGACCTTAGAGGTAGTCCAGACAAGAAGCTCCAGCCATGAGTACTAACACTATATTGTAATTGTAAAGTTGCAGTAACAGAATCTTGCAAGTCTGAAAGGACATCTCTCCCCCCCTTTATAGTCCAAGAAAAGGGGGGGGGGTCCCTTCTGAGACATTTGCCAGGCCCTCATTGCCTCTGCAAGCTAAACTGCCTTGTATCTGACCATTGCCTAGACTGCTGCTCCTTCTCCTGTCTCTCAAGGACATTCTCACAGATCATTATACAAGTTGACCATTCCTGACTTATACGGAGCATTTTAGTAAAGTGTATTGCTCAAAGTTATACTGCAAATGAAGTGATGAGAGTCTGTAAATAAGAAAATAAGAAGAAAGAACTTTTGGTTTGTTTCATTATTGAGTCATCTGTTTTTCTTGCTGATACAGAACTGCTCCAAGATCCATGATACCTCCTTTGGTGAAAAAGTATTTGACTAAGTTCAGAGACACCCAAGTCTGATGCCCTATCCCAACCCTGGAACTGATTTTATGGCTTTGACAGTCATACTCTCTAAATCAGTGTTTCTCAACCTTGGCAGCTTGAAGTCCACACATCTTCAAGCTGCCAAGGTTGAGAAACACTGCTCTAAACCAACCCAATCACACTAAATTATTGTTATGGGATACAATCAGAGGAAACACCATTTCTGAAAGCCACCTTAAGTGCTCGGAAAAAAGGTGTCATAGAAGTGCAATAAATGCAGATAACATTATTTTAATCTCTAATGCCAGATATTTAAAGTAAATTTGTGTTGAAACCACCTGCTAAGAAGGTATCTGGAAAATGCAACTGAGGAGCACCACGTAGCATAACACTGGAAAATGATATCGGACTGGGAATTTAAACTTGGAGAATATGCAGCAATGGCCACATTAGGAGCATATATTCCTAACAGAAGTTTGACCAAATTTAAGCAAGAGTAGCTTCCTTACATATTATGCAGCAAGGCAAATTTAAGCATTTATGGTATGGTTTTTAAGGGGAAAAAGAATAAACTAGAGAACTTAAATCAAAAATTTATGAACGTTTTTAAATGTTTAAAATGTTGTATATCAGTTGGAGTAGGGAAGTAAGAAACTATTTACCCCATGTTTTAGTAGTTTTCCTTTTTTTAATGATATTTTAAAATAACAAAATAGTGGAGACTTTGGCGCAGCTCAGAGATTAAAAAAGTTGACTAAAATCCTTTTCCTTATTGCTAAAAATAACGTATTTTGTTTTTATGGTTCATTTTCATCCACAGGATACCGAACATTAACTGTACAACTTCTGTAACTTCTTTGTCCACATAAATGATTTATAAAATGTATAAATGATTTATAAAAAAATGATTAAAAAACAAGACAAAATGCAATCGAGAGGTTACAAAACCTAAGGGAAACTCTCAGCTGGTTCACTTCTGTCTTGCTAAAAAACAATTCCCATCCAATTTCAACTTGCAAGTAGTCAGTCAGTCAATCTTTTTTTGTCAAAGCTTGTAAGTGTAACATCATACCTATGAGTGAGAGCCCCTAATTCAACTTCAGATGTTTAAGCTTGCCTTGAAGGATTTCTGTGTCATGGGTAGTTGAGAGGCTGTGATAGCTCAAAAACACTTGGAAGGTCAGAAATAGAATGCTTCTGAATATCAGAGAGAAAAAATGATTTCACGTATGGTGCTAAGACGTCACATGGGTTGCTTGGTTCTCACTTAGCATCATGTGCAAACGCTACTGTGATTTAAACCAAGCTCTGATTAAGCATAATGTATGAGATTGGTCAACATGGGGGCAGTTTTCACCAAACTGGTCCTGCCAGTTGGAAACATGAGGAAATGCAATCCCAAAATATGGGAAGGTTGGAAGAGGATGCTATGGGAAAAATGCTCAGGAAAAATATTATATTCTGCAGCAACCAAATGCCCTTTCTACTTCCTGGGACGATAGAAGCCAGGGCCTTACCCATTTGAAAGGCCCCTGTATGATTCCTAAAAGTATATACTTGACTACCTGAAATTCAGAGCTTGTGGTATTAACAGACCGTAGACTATTCAGCAAGACCATTCTTGCATATTTCTGCTGCTAGAACAGCATCGTTGATTGAACTCAAGTAAGAAAACAGTATAAAAGGAAACTATCAGAATTTCCAAGTTGATCTTTCCTTTAACATAAATTTACTCCAAACAGAAATTAGATGACATTCTAAACAGCAAGTTTGGCAGCTAGGAGCGGGATGAACTAAATTGTTTGCTTTAGCAAAAAGTCCCATCTGTGAATCATTTTGCCTCCCACCAATACGAGGCTCCACAGCTTCACATGGGTTACCTCAGCACAGAAATGCTGCGGTCAGATTTAAAAATGAAAACGCTTGGCTCGACAGGCAAGGCTGCCTTTTTAATCTGCTGCCTACCGAAGCACGAGGTCAGTTTATTGCAAAAGGAGCCCATCTGGCTTCCCAGCTGCAGAACCATAGTGTGAGTGGAAGATCCCATCCATGGGTAGAGCAATTTATGACGGCACTGCGTAGAATGAGACCACGGGAATTAGACCCAGATTAACAGGGCCTCTGGAATCACGTGTAAAAAGGATTGAATCCAAGTGACTGGTAAAGACATGAATGGAATCTCTGCTTTCACTTGACAGGATATGAATCTACAACAGCAGCAAGTTCCTTGAAGGAGAAAGGGAGATACTATTGGCTGACTACCAACACCGAGAGGTTTATAAATTCTTTCCCTTGGTTTTGAAACTGGGTAGCTTTGGGTCAGCTGCTAAGGAGGGTCTGTGGGGAACTGGCTGGTGGTCCTTTTTGGTTTTCAAGGAGCCCCTTTTCTCTATCTTCTGCAGTATGCAATCAGAAAACTACAGAAGATTTTAGTCCGCATTACAGTGCAAACAATACATTCCATGGAGGACACAAGGCATGTACTGTATGCTTTAAGGCAGTGTTGTCCAAACTTGGCCACTTTAAGATGAGTGGACTTCAACTCCCAGAATTCCCCACTCATCTTAAAGTGACCAAGTTTGGACAACACTGCTTTAAGGAGATGGCAGCACCTCACCAACCTTGGCTGATCTCTAAAGTCTAAACATGGGCAGATCTGGAAATCCTAGAGCTGTAGGGTAGCCTGGGAAATAAAAATATGCTGGAAGATGGCAATGGCAAATCACTTCCATAATGCTGGGAAGCAAACATCATGGGCATGTTCATGAAGTCACCAGGAGTCAATATTGAACTAAGTGAGTTTTTGCCTTTACCTTCCTGGGGATGAATGAAAAGATTAACCTACACCCATGTGGTTATACAATGCAATAAACAATAGATATGGAAGACATGCCATTTTTCAGGGAAACTGGACTGCAGTTACTGAACTTTTGACTGCAGACCTTCCGCTTCCCAAACACTCTATGGAACAAAAACTTCTCATTATATCACCCCTGAAGTTTGGAAACAGCATACTTTAAAAGTGTTTGATCTTATTGGTAACTTCGAACGGTCGCTAAACAAGTGGTTGTTAACTGAGGACTACCTGTATTTAATATATTATTAGTGATGATCATCTACTTTTAAGCAACTGCAATTATTTGGAAGCTTCTCTGGGAATTTGTTGGGTTGAAGAAAAGGAGATAAACAAATCTATCACACTGACAGTATGTAGCCATTTTCCTACTTGAAACTGAACAAGATGTCCCCATTGAAGAGAGGAAAGACTTTAGTCACCAAGCCTGAAACTCATTCCCTCCAGACAGGCAGTTGTGATTCTACTTACAGAGCAGACAATCAGATTTACTCTGAGTGAGCAGCTAAGCTGGCAATTCAACCCCACATTAAAGCAGCAAGCAGTTCACATGAAGGTAGAGTTATAAGCCGTGTGGAGTCTAGAGTTCCTAAGAAAGCCAGAACATTGGTGTAGACATGTGACTGTTTCTTCCCCATGTGCAAAACAAAACACACCAGGCCATCTGGAATTACTTATATACCGATGGTGTGTAAGTATATTACATGTAAGAATCCAGGGTAGACTTTTAAAGAAATCACTGTGCTGCGGTTTTTAAGGATTCTATTCCATGACCCTCGTTCTTTCTTTTTTCCCCAAATTTTGGTTTCATCATTTTTCACTGACAAAGTATTTGAAACATGGCCAATGAAATCCTGTAGAGAAGGAACTCTAGGAAAAACCCTTCATGGAAACTTGAAGAGCAAGCATGGAAAGCAGAGGTTTGGGGCCTTCAGAGCTCTCTCCATCTTTGGACAGGACAAACAGTTCAAATTATTGCTCAAAAGGATATGTTTTGCAGCTGTCCGAGGGCCTTCTTTTGTCAAAAATGGGGAAGGAAATTAAGAGTTGAAGCACTTCAGACACTGGCAACAAAACACATAGAAACTACCAGAATTTTTCCAACTCCAGTTTGGAAACAATTGGTTCTAAATAGATCTGCATGGGTTTTGCACTCTTGAAGTTCAAGAATGTAAGTAACTCTTTGAAAAGTTCACTCTTACTTGTAGGCTTTGATGTTATATTTCTTCTCTGCTGGAAATCCAAACATGCCACAGATAACACGGGAATTTTTTGTGGTCCAGTTTTTGTCACAGATCTGCTTCCAAGTGCCTCCTTCTTTTACTTCCACGTAACCCTCCGTAACGGGGATGCGTTTGCGAGAGGCGGAAAAGACAGCCCGTATCCGGACATCTTCTACTTCGATGTTCGTATTCTAAGGATTGTAAGGAAGATAGGAGTTTCTTGTTTAAGCACTGGCCACAAGAATATATAAAGAACAGATAAAAGAGAACCAATAGATCCTTTAAAACAAACAAAAAGACCCTTAAACTGGAATTCAGAATTGTGGAAAACTGCACAGTACTGTGGTATAGGACTTCATAGAGCTCACTGGATGACTTTGAACCAATCACCTCCTCTCAGCCCAACGTTCACCACAAGGTTGTTGTGAGGATTGACTCCTATGGATGTATCACACTGAGCAAGTTAAAGGAAAGCAGAGTGTAAATATTCAGGAATGCCATACTGTTCAACAAACCAGATCTAAAGCTCAGGGAAACTTTGGAAACAAAATTACATATTGTATGGGTAAAAGTTAGGAGAACTGTGGTGTGTATCTGGAAATGCAGATACATGCTTCCAGCTATGTCCTTAAAAACTGTGGCATCTTCCAGATGTAAAAGCCAGGGTGGTGTAGTGGTGAAGGTGTTGGATTAGGAATGGAGAGATTCAGGTTCTAGTCCTCCTTAAGCCATGGCAACTTCTCTCAAAGTTAACTTTGGCAAAATATTAATGAAACAAATCAATTTCAAGGAACAAATCTACAGTGGTGGTTCTCAGCCAGTCATCTATGTACCACAAGAAGAACTTAGAAATAGTGGAATGCAAAGTAAATCATTGAAATTTCAGTGAAGCATGTCAAACTTACCATAATACTAAGTCTAATAAAAGGGCTACTCATGGATCAAGAATTATTTTAAAAAGGAGCTTGAGAATGTGTGAAATAGCAAGTGCAGAACCTCTGAAAAGTTCCTGCATGTTTTTCAGGCTTCTGAAAAACGACACAGCTGCTTTAATGACCTTCCAATCTCAGGGATGGGAGGTGTTCCAGGAACTTGGCATGACGTGTCTGAAGGAGATTGTTGGTCCTGGGTGTAAAGTTGCATTTTGAAATGCAAATTCTCTGAGTGAATGGAACCTTAGGAATCCAATTTTGGTCCTTAATGTTTTTATCAAGAGCGAAAAGAAAAAAACCCCTGTGTCATAATCTTGGCAGACTCAATTTTAGTGGCAAAGATACCCTCAAGTCAAGCTCAATTCCCAGAGATTGCATGACACTATCATGTCATTTTCTTGGCAACAACATGGAAGTGACTCCAGTAGGAGAGAATCTCTGTAGCTCCGGATTGAACTGTGGAGCCCTTGGTGCTCTCTGAACTTGGCTGTTTGCTTGCAGACATTTCATGACCCAACTGGGTAACATCATCAGTCATCATCAGTCTGATGATGTTACTTAGATGGGTAATGAAACATCTGATGATGTTACCTAGACAGGCAATGAAATGTCTGCAAGCAAACAACCAAGCTCAGAGAGCACCAAGGACTCCACAATATGGAAGTGGCTTGTCACTACCATCTTCTGGGATGATTTTTGACTTGTCAGTCTAGACCACAACCACAGCACTTCATAATGATCCCCCATCCAGTTACCCTGCTTAGCTTTTGAGCCAGACAAGGTTGGTTCTGGGAGCTGTAAAAAAACAGAACTGGGGGTGCCCCACACAAGCTATTTGTAGTTTGCTCTGGTTTAACAGAAAAACCCTTTATCTAATTGTACTTCAATGAGAGAGAGTGAGACCCTCACTTCATTGTGCTGGCCATCTTTTTCTTTTCTTTTCTTTTCTTTTCTTTTTATGTTTTATTGTAATTTCTTTGTTTGATTGTTGTGAGCCACCCAGAGTCATTGAGAGTCAGGCGACATCAATAAACAAACAAACAAATCTAGAAGGACAAAATACCAGAAATGGATAAATCAAGTTTGTGCATTAAAACTGGTCAGTTTGTTTCCAGTATGCTGGACGGAGAACGGTGGTCCTCCAAAGGTTGCTGAATCATGACTTGGAGGGCCTGAGTTCTCCACCCTTCACACTTATGGCTACTTCTCACTAAGGGTCATCAGTAGAGAATTTTAATCCATGATTCTCTATGATTCCTGTGCTTAATATGTAATTTCCTTGGGAGAACAGCCTGAAATGCCCTTTCAACTGAAAAAAATGAGGTATGAGTCACAGAAGTGATATATTTCCCTATTACTGCCTACGTGAGACTTACAGCAGAGCCAATCCCACAGGATTGACTTGGTTCTGGGAGGGCTAAGCAGACTGGAAAAAAATGCTGTTTGCTGCACCAGTAAGCTAAAAAGGGAACTAAATTCAGGGAAGGTTTATGTAAAGATTTCAAGATAAACTGTTTCTCTCTCCCTGTCCCCCCCCCCAAAAAGGCATTGTTTCTATTTCATTACATCAATGTTGTGGAATTCTTCTCTTTCCATTTATAAACGCAATACCTCCAAAGGAGAAAAGAACAGCTAAAGGATTTAAAATGATTAGTATAGTCAATTGGAAATAAAAATTTTAAATGGAAGTTGAAATGGACCCAATCTGCGGTTTCTCTGTGCCCGGGTGCAATCAACAGAAAGATGAAGCTGGTGCTAAGCTGTCAGTGCTGATTTTGGGAGCCAAAAGGAGTCATTTAAACAAGACAGCAGGCATTGTGGAGCAGAAATATAACACGCTTTCCATTTCAAAGTGATACTGAGGTGCCATGATTATAGCAATAAACCTGAAATTAAAAAGATATTAAAAGATCGGAGAGAAATGAATAAATTCTGGGAGCTGAAGTCTACGCATCTTAAAGTTGTCAAGGTTGAGAAATACTGCTTTAGGCTAAACACACTCAGTCCTTTTAACTGTTCTTCATAAGATTGATCCTCCTTCCCTACCATTTGCTCTGCTCAGCACTCTTTGCAGTTCCTTCCTGAATTGCGGTGACCAAAACTGGACACACTATTCCAGGTACGGTCTGAGCAGTGCAGCATCAATCAGAGCTGTTTCTTCCTGGGACCTCAATATTACACCTCTACCGATGCAGTCCAAGAATGCCTTGGCTGTTTTGGCAGCTGCAGCACGTTGCTGGCTCATGCTTAGTCTGTGGTTTACCAGAACAGGTGCTAGAAAAGACCTTAGCACACAAGCCCTCCTTGACTTGCAAAACAATCAGGAACTCCAGCCATCCATTATAATTTTTCTTTCTCTGTGGCGTATGGACTTTGTGGCCTGGTATGCCTGCTGCTCTGCTGGCATGAGACCGCATATGGAGTGAGGAAAAGGAGGGGACAAAAAAACCCAGCTCAGTTTTGTCCTTGAAGACCAGCTGCTGTATCATGAGGCTTGAGGAGTTGACCTGGTGTTGGGAGATTTTGAGTCAGCAGTCCCATTGGTGCAGCGAGGTATATAGGTATTGGGGACCAGAGCCGTGGGGGGACACCCACCTCCTCCATTGTTGTGGGACATGCTGCTGGTCTAATCAAAAATTGGAGAGAGAGCCAGAAGGACTGGAGGAAGCAGAAGAGAGTAAATGTTTGCAGCTCGAGCTAATGGAGTAGCTGGAGAGAAAGGCTGGAGGAGAAGGTGTGCAGAGTAGTTGTCACTTCCGGTTTGGGGAGAGGAGAGAAGAATGGTCCAGGGGTGGCTTCCCTGGAAGAAGGGAAGTGAAGTCCCAAGGGGTCGAGCTCCACCCAAGACCCAGGAGGAGAAGGAGAGATCCAGCTGGTTGCAGGCGGTGGCTTCACCAAGACCCTGGAGGGGACGGAGAGAATTGGCTGCCAGTAGGAAATCCCTGGTTTTGAGGGAAAAAACTGGGCAGAAGACCCTGAGAGAGGTTCTTTCCCAACACAGAAGCAGCTGAGCTGGAAAAAAGTCAAGGAACGCTGAGCACACTCCAGCTCTTTCCTTCTTCTCACACTCTGTCTCTTGTCAAGCCCAGACACTGGGGAGGGAGACAAGAGAAAGGGGAAGGAAGCAGGAGAGACAGAGGGGGAAAGTCACTGGTAGGGAGACCTGGGAGGAAACTCAACACCAGGACTGTGTTGTAAAGCCCTGTTGTAAATGCCTGCTGAAAATAACTGCATACAGTAAACAGCATAAAACTGTTTCACTGTTGTTTCTGTGTCCATTGCCACCTTTGCTAAGAAATACACCCCCAGGTCAAAAACAAACCCCCTCAGATTGTGACACTCTCCCACTTCACAGTTTTTCCTCCAAGGATTACACATATAAGGTGATATTCAGCTTTCTTCTATCAATTAATTTTCCCAACAATCTTTTGAGCGGTCTAGGTTGAAGGATATTTGCTAGCCCAAGATCACCTAGCTAGAGGCAGACCAAAATGTTTATGCAATAAATGGCACTCCCCTATACATTCAACTTAAGGAGCATGAAAGAGGAATTCCTGACATCTCTTCTCCGTCTTTGGAAGTAACAATTGGGCCACAACTTAGTCAATAACAAACAGTTGGTTACTCTTTCAGGTGGTGCAAATTCTGCTGGCCTTATACCTACTGAGCTTTTATGGTTGAATCTAGATCTCCAAATTCCTAGTTCAACATTCAGCAACAATAGTTTGCTGATTCTTTCTTTGAAGCTGTAACATACAGATATTTGGACAATTAGTATGTTAACTGCAGGGTGGAAAACAGGACTTCACATAGCATCCTTTTTCCTTTTTTTCCAATTCTCAAGAAGTTTTTAAGTGACTCATTTTTTTTCTCATGGGGTATTTCATGAGCAGTCATGCAATAAGCAGATTGTTTAAAGTTTCCATCAGAGGCCTTGTTTAAATGATAGTGATAGATTTTCTAATAATTGCACAGAGTTGCGGGGTGGGCGATGGAATGGAAATTGAAATTTAGGAGGAAAAGGTCATTTCTGATCATAGCAACTTATCCCATTGAGTTGGGATATAAGTTGCCTAAATGTTCACACCACATTTTGTGTCAGCTACTAACATGTTTGGCCCATTTATCCCTACACAGTCAGGTGAATAACATGCTTTAGCAATCTAGCTAAGGGTAAAGGCTACTGAATTCAAACATTGGTTTCAAAGTTTCTGGAACAGACATTGGTACTAAAATGCAGTGATATTTTTCAGATCAGA